GATGCGAATACTTTGATTACCCATGTGAGCTTTTTACTGTTGCATCAGTCTATAAATGGAGTGTCTCACTTCTAGGACCTAAAACAGATGCTATGCTTAGAGTTCATGGCAGTAGAGTTCATGATGTAGTGCTGTTGTTATGCTGTAGTTAATGTCTGCACAGGTCTTACTACTTACTGGGCTCCTGATACTGCTGCTGTTCTGTTCTCTCACTTTATTGATGGTGCTCAAATTAGTTTGAATCAACAACTAATTCATCATCAAATCACAATTTCAAGCATTGCCCTCTTACTAGGAAGTAATCAAGCTACTACCGATTACCTAAAAAAGTGCATATATTTAGTTAGAATGGGGAGTTATGATTTCATTAACAACTATGTATTGCCTCAGTATTACCCCACAAGTAGCCGTTATACCCCAGATCAGTATGCAACAATGCTAAGTTAGCAGCAGCAATTGGCGTCTGGACCTGGTTCTTGGTTTTGTCTTCTTTGATTCCTAATTTGTTTGGTGGTCTGGTTATTATCTGTCCTGTCTTTGGCATTGTCAGAGATCAATTCACATTTCTTGATGTGGTGTTTATTCAGCTATTGGGGTTGCTGCTGCTTAATTTAGGTTATGTCTGGAACTGATATGCTGCTGGATTGCTAGGCTCAGCAGTGGACTGCTGTGTTATTGTTGTGGAGGAGTTTTTTTTTTTTTTTTTTTTTTTTTTTTTTTTTAGAAGTTGGCTGCAAGTCTTGGTGGTTGATAAAAGGGAGATGCGAACTGCTTTGTTGGCTGATGGTGGTTGATATGTTTTGTTAGAATGCCAGTCTTGGTTCTGTTTTGGTTACAAGGGGCCTGGGTTAGTTAGTGCAACATCCGCAGCTTTCAGTGGTTGGCTGGGCTATGGATGACCTTCATTACAGTAGCTTTGTGGGTCAAGGCCTCACCATTACATGTGGAAGCTTCTGTGAATGATCTGGTGTATAATTTGCAGCAGGTCAAGTTTTGCCTCAGGTATGGTGGTTGAATGTGTATTAGAATCAGGTCTGATGGCTGAGCTTGTGCCAGGTTTGGTTGCTGAGGTTAGTCTCTGATATGGGTTGTGCTGTCAGTGTTTGATCTGTTAGTGAGGTCTGGTGGTTGAGCCTGTGTATGGTATGCATTTTGAGCTTAGAGTATGATCTGGGTTGTTATGTTATCTATGCTGATCTTATGTTTTGCTATTGAGGTATTGCTTTGCTGGTTGAGGTATGTGCAGTCCTGTTCTGCTCCTACAACCTGCTGTTTTCTATGTTGCTCTGTTCCCCCAGATTTGGGTTGTCTTTCTTGGGTGTTGCTCTCTGTTGGAGGTGCTTAGCAGATGATCGGATGGGTTTTTTGGTGCCAACATAGTTGGGATGATCTAGCCCATTGTGATGCTTTGTGTACCCTCCTTTCTTTATTGATGTTTTGATGTTTTTGTGTTTACATCTTGTACCTTTCATTGCCATCAATAAAGTTTTCTATTTTTGTCGATCAAAAAAAAAAAAAAAAACTAAACTAAAATGCTTTCAAACAAACCTTGTGATCAAAATTTTATTCAAGAATATAAATTGAGCCACAAATCTAGCATTGATGTAACTAACACAAACACAACAACCTTTGGATTGTAATGAATAAAAACTATACTGACTTATGGGCCTGATGCTATATAGTTGAAGCAGATCTTCAATTGATAATGAGTTTGCATTGTTAGATTTTTCAATACTGTAGCCAAAAATTTAAATGTTTCAATGCAAAAAGATGTGACTTATGACAACTAGCTTTGATGGCCAGTTCATTGTTCACGATTTATAATGAAAGAAGTTGAGTTAGATTGGCCAGGATGTGGAAAAATCATTGTATCTGAATGAATGAAAGTTGGATAGGATGACCTTTGCATAAGAATTATAAAAGGTCAGTGATGATGGGGCATAGGAATTAGTTCTGTGGTTCCAACACAATTAGACCTGTTACGGATCGGGGGCACACCAGGGAACTCAAACAAGCAATAACACACAAGATTTAACGTGGTTCGGCAAGTCGCCTACGTCCACGGGCAGCGGATTCCACATCTAAATGCTTGATTATTTTCTACCTCCATACTCTTTGAAGCATGTGAGACTATCTGTCCAAAACATCACATCTAATGCTACCTTTTCTACATGTGGACTTTATCCTGTCTGCAGTGCCGGCCCTGGGCACTGGCCAACAAGGCCATGGCCTAGGGCCCTTCAAGATAGACCTAAAAAAGGGGCCCCTTTTATTATGGTATAGTGTAATATATTAGGTATGTTTTAAGTTAAAAAAAAAATTAAAGAAAAAATATAAATTAACTTAAAATAAATTGACCCATTAAAAAATTAAAAAGTCCATTCAAAAAAATTAACATTGTAATCCACTAAAAATAGACCCAAAAAAGGGTCCTCCTATTATAGTTTATTGTAATATATTAGGTATATTTTAAATCTAAAAAAAAATTAAGAAAGACCCTAAAATAAATTGACCTATTAAAAAATTGAAAGGCGCATTTAAAATAATTAGCATTGTTATTCATTGAAAAAGATTTTGCAAAAAAATAGATTATGCAAGTATAATTAATTTATTTGCTTCTAAAAATGCAAGAAGAGCGAGGATCAAACGACACTTATTAATTGTTGTAATGTAATACTAAGTATTTTTTGTAATTTTGACACAAATTTTGTCTTTTATCGTCATTTTTTTTTTTCATTTTTTTTCATTCAATGAAAAAAAAAAATATGAAGGGCCCCAAAAATTTATTAATTGATTATTGGCTTTGGGTTCCGGAAATCTCAGGGCCGGGCCTGCCTGTGTTTACACCCCATTCTATTTATTTGCCTCTCCTCTCCACATGCAAAGGGGGCACACATGGAGGTGGAGTGTGAGAACTCGACATATATTATTGGGCCAAGTCAATAACAACTCAAGCTTTTGAGAAACTAGTTTTCTAGCAATGACACGCCAAATAACTCATTTCTCATTTGCTTATAATGTATAAGGGGTGATATTCCCCTTGATGCTTTTTCTACACAAGTAGCACCCCCTTGGTGTCCTTTTTTTTTTATTATAAAAACTCACCAGATATATACATGCATATAACAACTATGCCTTATCACCATGTAAAACGACAACTGAAATTCTTGAAGCAAGTAAGTTCCATAATATAAATAATCTGCAAACATTTCACTATAGAAAAGAAGAAGAAAAAATCCCATATAGGGTCTGTACTTTCCATTGAACTGAAAGCAAGTGAACTGCTGCTCAACGGTATGCAATTTCAAATCGGGTTGTGCGCCCATAATCTAATTACACAGAAAGAAAAAAAAAATGAAGAAGAAGAAGAAGAAGAAGAGAGAGCAAATCAGTCTTTGATAAGAAGAGTCCAAGGTCAATATGCTTTAAAAGATTTGGCATACCTTTTCCATTAGTGGGGTAAACATGTCATCTGCAAGATATGCCAAGGTTGTACCACTATCAATTACCACTGCTTTCCCAGACTGACCAATCCAATACATCTGTGGGAAGTTGTAGAACATCATGACCCACCTCAATTGCCTTCAAAATAGCATTGTAATGTGCCCAAGATAAGAAAAGAACTGTAATTTAGACAAGATTCTTGAACCGAGATCAAACCCGATTGAGGAACTATAAACAGACAAGAATAATAAAAGAATGTTATGCAGTAGCAACTAGCAAGTCCATTAAAAATAGATTTAAAATTAACAATCATATGCTATATTAATATCTCTTTCTTCTAAAATTGAAATAATAATAATAATAATTACTAATAGATGAAAGAAAATAGATATAGTGGCGGCTCATTTCTTCATAATCTAATTGCTAATGCAAATAGAAACTTAATTCTTGAGTAAGGGTGTTCCTTGCATGTTATTTTATTCCTTGAAGTAAATTTAACAATCATTACCCAAGATTTAAATACTCACTTCTTTTCCTAAGTAGGTGTGGGATAACTTTTTTTCTCACTCATTGCCTGAGAAAGTTACTAGAAAGAATAGCATATAGTTCTTGACAAAGTGGAATGGCAAAAAAAATCATGTAGCCGACCCCACGTGGTTAGGGCACAGGGCATAATTTGACAAAATTCAATAAGTGGTTACTGATGTATCGAATAGTATGGAAAATCTAAGGGAAAAAAATTATGTACAATACGAAAAGTTTTTCTCAAAAAACAAAAGAACAAAAACATAAAAAGGGGAACCTATGGTGGTCAAGGGAGAAGTGGGAGGTGTCTGTGTTGTTGGTGGAGATGGTGGTTGATTTCCTGTTAAGCATGGCAGAAATTATGCATCGCCATTGATTCAATCTTCTATCTTTTTAATTTTTGTCTCAACATAAGCACAAAGCCATTCGTTTAAAAAAAAAAGCCCCAACATGTCACATTAATCTTACAAACCATATCGATGTTGAGCCTAAGATAGGTCTAGATTGTTAATCGCTTGGAGAGAGAGTGGGAGCAGAAGGTTCAGACTTGAAGTCAAGAAATTGGAGCTTAGTGGTTCAAACTAAAGCTCATTGATTTAATTATATCTAGCCATTGTAGCTTAAAATTGGTGGATCCTGACAGAGTTGATGTGTCTTGATGAAGCTGATGTAATGGTGGTAGTCTTGCCATGGTGGTTCATATGGTCGTGTGATAAATTTAATTGGGTTGATAGGAAAGAGATAGACACAATAGTTGAAAACGGAGTCATTTGCTTTCGGTTGCCATCAACCAATAATCTCTAATCATGGTGAGGCAATTAAAGTGACACAGAAAGATAGTTCAGAGGTAGAGAGGGAAACCAACGGTTTTTGTGATGGCTTTTTTGGGTGAATTCTTTGTGATGGCTGGTATGACAATATTTTGGATATTTTACAGTGTCATTGAATATTATAAATGTCTTTTAATATTACTCCACATGAGGGGAAATAGACAATTTAAAGCATCGACTTGGTGAACTTGAGTCAGATACTAAAATCCAAGCTAAATAACCACTTCCATTCCATCAAAAGGGTGCAAAAAGTACTTCAAATACCAATTTTGTAATGAAGACAAAACTCATCCCAAAATTAAAATATCTCATAGTTTCACTGCAAATTAGAAATCATGATGTAAAATCATATACTGGTTTGGGACCAACGGAGTTTAGTTTTGGCTCCAATAGCAAAGATTCCACCTCCATTAGTGCCATCCAAGCAATGTGCAAACATTTTTTTAACCTTTCCAACTGATGCAAGCTGTGATATCATGGAAGCATTTGCTTGTTCAAAACCAAGGATGCCATCAAGTGCTTGAGAAGATGAACCTAGCTGACCGGATTGTTTAGCTCCACACCTGTCTTAGATTAGAAATATTTATATAAGGAATAAAAGAAACATTGTACATAAACTGTGCTAAATAATTATCAAGTTTTCAACACTAATCAGACCTAAGCAAGGCGCACACATTCGAAACTTGAGAGAAGATGTCAAAGATAATATAGATTTCACTAGTAAATCTAACTTGTTAATGACCATTTCATCTAAAAGCTTAAGTTGTTACAAAGGGTTTAACTTAACTATCAAGATAATTAATGCTGCCTCAAGTGTGGGCACTCTAAATGAATGAGCCAAACATGTACAAGTATTAAATTTATTGGGTAGAATGAATAAACAAAGGAACTTCTATAACATCAAAAGGACATATGACACTGCTCACCCAAAATAACCCACATAACTCTTTTTATATTATTATTATTATTGTTATTATTATTATTATTATTATTATGTATATTGGTTACAATGACTCATCAATGACAACAAAAATCACAAATTATTAAAGAATGTGCCATATACAGTTATAAGTAGAATGGACCAGGGGTCAGGGGTTTATTGTGGAGTGAAATAAGGCGCTAAAATTTTTCTTCATATCTAAAATCTCTCCTCCAAGATGGGAATGCTCAACCTTATTCTCCACACTACACTACCCCACCAAACCTCACTCCCTTTCTTCCCTTCCCTTCATAATTAACCCTACATCGAAGCCTTTTTAGTTCTTTTCTTTGCTAGAAGATAAGTTTTCTTCTTTTTTTTTTCTTTCTTTTTTTTACCTTAATAGCTTCACGAATCTCCTCCCTCCCCAAATTAGTCGATTTCTTCAATTCAATTTTCTCAAGACTAGTGCAGTTATTGATCTTCTCATCCACCCTTTTATCACTATTATCAGACAACTTTCTCACATTCTTAACTACTTCACTAAACTATTCATAGCTCGAGCAACCACCAATAACTACAACCAATGTTTTTGTCTACCTTCTGGAGAATAAAAAGGCCTCTATCATCAATTTCAAATGACACCTCAGAACCTCGAAGCTTGATCCTACCCTATTTCCAGCCCCATTTCAAACCCCTGACTCCCCTCCACCCCCTGCAAAATGGGGAGTTCATATGAAAAATCCACCGCCCGTTCCTCAAATCACTTCTACCTCTGCTTCCCCTTTCAAATTATTCCTCCAATCACTAGAGAGAGAGAGAGAGAGAGAGAGATCTAAAAGAATGTGTTATATAAAAGTTGGCCACATGCAAAACATAACTTTAATTTAACCCTAATCTCTATTATCTTCTCCTTTTGTCTAAACCCCCTACTAACTTGGTGCATCAAAGGACTTCTTTTGTAAGAGTCTGTGAAAGAGGAGGTACAGTCCACAATCAACCCAGTCCCACCCATAGACCTTTGATAATACTCTGATATCATCAAACTACATGCATATCTTTTTTATGGTTTTCTCTCTACCTTTATTTTTGTTTGATTTATTGTTTATCAAATTTTAATTCTTTTTTTTACGAGAGAGAACGAGAGAGATTTGATTTACTGTTTATCAAATTTTGATTCCTTTTTTTTTATGAGAGAGAATGGGAGAGAGATTTATGGTAGAAATGAAATAGTTGGTGCTCGCTGTAAAAATAAAAAAAAAAATCAACAGAAGAACTAGAAGCCTAGTCTCAATGAAATACATATTACATGTCTAAAAGTCAGAAAAACCAAAATTAGCAAGGCCAAGTATCGAGTCACATGTCATCACCATAATCTCAAGAATCAAACAAGGGACAAAACTTTCTCTATCCTATACATACAGTCAAATGCAAGCAAGGCATCTTAAATAATATTGTCTACACCCAAAAAATGACGGAGCAAAGTGTCAGAACTAACTTACTGGTCCCTTCCAACACTGAGAATCCACTGAGCAAGATGAGTTAAATTCCCTCTCAAATTTCCTGCAGATTATTCACAGCATATTAATGAGAGAGAGAGAGTTGCACTAGTGATTTATCCTTACAGAACAGGATCAGTGACTGCTGCATTTTCAGTGGCTAACTTCAGTGCCTGGAATGTCAATGGATTTAATGATGTTCTATATTACCTTACTTGTTTTCTCCAAGTTAATATGTGCTAAGCATACGCTAGCATTCAAATCTCAAAACAGATGAGAAATCCAACACATTTATTATATCTGATCTGACAAATAGTATGTGTTTATTCAGGAACAATTTTTCCTATACAAGTACTATGAACTCTAATCCAATTAAACTCTTGCACAATCAAAAAACACTAGATGACAAGGTTGATCGGACAATTTGCTAATATATGGGAAGTTTTCATAGAAGAACCAACTTAAAGGCTAAGCATACGCTAGCATTCAAATCTCAAAACAGATGAGAAATCCAACACATTTATTATATCTGATCTGACAAATAGTATGTGTTTATTCAGGAACAATTTTTCCTATACAAGTACTATGAACTCCAATCCAATTAAACTCTTGCACAATCAAAAAACACTAGATGACAAGGTTGATCGGACAATTTGCTAATATATGGGAAGTGTTCATAGAAGAACCAACTAAAAGATTAATAAACTCAGGTGAGAGAAATATAGAACAGAGACCCATGCCTTGAAATGTTAATCCTAGGTTCAGATAATAAAAAAATAAAAAAAAAATCTGATCTCCAAAGCCATGTAATGGAGTGTTTTGACACCTTTTCCACCGCCTTGTCTACCGTTGATTCTGATTCTGTTATAAACCTGAATTAATCTGCTGCTACATGGGAGCAGAATTTTTGTCCGCCAATGGAGTTCTTGTGCTGGGCATGAACTCAACTGTCGTCGAAAGAGAGAGTGGTCCAGTCTTTGACAGCATATTTGGTGAAACCTGCTGGCGGGGAAAAAGGTACTCCTTAGAGAAGGATGATGAATATATGGGGGCTCTGTCATTTTCAGCGAAATTGTCACCAAGGTGGGAATGAGAGCAACCCCTCTTCCCTTCGAGCTCTATCACCACGCCCCTGTTGAGATCAATGACCTCCAAACATCTATTTAAACCATTAACATGATCTCCAAAACTAGGTATGTTTTCTTTTTCGTTGTCATGAAGTGAATGAGGGTCATTCTCAAGAGGGCGCCTGCTGGCCCTTTCATGTTCTTTCGTCATTGGCCTCTTGCTCTCTCCACCCATTTCATTTTTCAATATCCCTTCTGTTCTTTTCCTTTCTGCCTTCAAACTAGAATGCAGGCCTAGTTTTTTTGAATTATGTCCCCCATCAATAACTTTACTAGATCTTGAGCAATTTTCTCTGCACAATTGAGGAGATGAATCAGTCTGACCCTTTGAAGTTTTCCCTGGTAAATTTCTCAAGGTTGCAGACGTGCTGGACATTTTTGGGGAATTTTTATCTAGCTCTTGATTCTGTGCTGCATATCTGCGAATGGCATTCAAAGAAGGATTTATCACTCCATTTTGCACAGAACCAAGCTTTGTATCCATTCTTTTCAGCATCCTGTATTGATCAAATTAATTTGAGTTAGTTAATTCATATCCTAGAGTTAAGTTTCATTTCCTTACACAATCTTGTGTCTACATATCCAACAAGTTAGACTACCAAATGCTAGACAAAAATTGTAACTTGTAAGTAATAAATAATAATACTCATAACATAGAACTAAACAAATTGGAAGAAAATAAAACTACCTCATCAAAGAACCCAATCCTTGGTGATGGCATTCGGAGACCCGAAGGTTTGAAATTTCTGGTCGATTTTGCAAGATCATTAGCAGTTCCCCTAACTACTTCAAGACATGGATCTGGAAACCTTGTTTGATGACTTTCTTGATCATCGAAACATTCATCATGTGGGAAACTCTGAAAATTTAATACTTGGGTGGCATCATTTCCTAAACGAGCTCCTCTGGAAGTACTGGTATGAAAACTGACCTCTAAACAGTTGGGGCTTTGGTTGGCAGTTGATGATGATTCTGAGGACCATCCATCAATGGAGCTAGCAGGAGATTCATAAGAAGAATGGTTTGACATGGACAATGAAGGGGTTGACAAACCAGGATTTTCCAACACAATTTTGTCTCCTAGTGAGCACCTGAGAGGAGTCTTGGAGGTTGAACCAGAGGCAGCAAGACTACTTTTCCTATAATCTGCTTTTCTTCTCGAGTTTGAGGAAGATTTCAACGACGAAGCACTGCTGGTAGTGACAGAAACTGAAGAAGATGATTCAAGGGATGTTGTAGTATAATGATGTTTGTAATATCTCCTATATAAGGAGTGTCATTTGGTCTTGTAAGAAAAGAAGTTTTGAATATAACAGAAATATATTCCTTCTTCCTCATATTTTCTAAGTTCTTCTTCCTCATATTTTCTAAGTCCAGATTTCTTGGATAATATAAAATCTTTCCCTGTAACAGTCAATGCATTTTGATGTAAATTCCATTAAAAGTGGAAGAAAGGAACTTTTAAATTATACGAAGGTTCTTACCAGATCCAAGGGTTACAACTTTATTTCCCATTTTGACATGGTCCGCACCTAAGGAAATCTTTTTTCTTTGTCCTGCTGACACCGTGTTCATCCTGCTTAATGGAAATGAATTAGCTTCACCATTCTTTTTAGCATCCTGTATTGATCAAATTAATTTGAGTTAGTTAATTCATATCCTAGAGTTAAGTTTCATTTCCTTACACAATCTTGTGTCTACATATCCAACAAGTTAGACTACCAAATGCTGGACAAAATTGTAACTTGTAAGTAATAAATAATAATACTCATAACATAGAACTAAACAAATTGGAAGAAAATAAAACTACCTCATCAAAGAACCCAATCTTTGGTGATGGCATTCGGAGACATGAAGGTTTGAAATTTCTGGTCGATTTTGTAGGATCATTAGAAGAATGGTTTGACATGGACAATGAAGGGGTGGACAAACCAGGATTTTCCAACACAATTTTGTCTCCTAGTAAGCACCTGAGAGGAGTCTTGGAGGTTGAACTAGAGGCAGCAAGTCTACTTTTCTTGGAATCTGCTTTTCTTCTCGAGTTTGAGGAAGATTTCAATGACGAAGCACTACCAGATGGAGAACAAGAAGCTGATGAATCATTACTGGTAGTGACAGAAACTGAAGAAGATGATTCAAGGGATGTTGTAGAGCTAGTGGAACAACATGAGTTCCCCAATCCAGATTTCTTGGATACTAAATCTTTTCCTGTAACAGTCAATGCATTTTGATGTAAATTCCATTAGAATTGGAAGAAAGGAACTTTTAAATTATGTGATGGTTCTTACCAGATCCAAGTGTTGCAACTTTATTTCCCATTTTGACATGGTCCGCCCCTAAGGAAATCTTTTTTCTTTGTCCTACTAACACCATGTTCTTTTTAGCATCCTATATTGATCAAATTAATTTGAGTCAGTTAATTCATATCCTAGTGTTAAAATTTCATTTCCTTACACAATCTTGTGTCTACATATCCAACATGTTAGACTACCAAATGTTGGACAAACTTGTGACTTGTAAGTAATAAATAATAATGCAGCCTTTCAATTTGAGCAATCGAGATGAACACTTATGCATACTAAATACTAAAAGGAACTATATAATCTCATTGTCTTCGATTTATACATGCCTGGACAAACTTGTAACTTGTAAGTTATAAATAATAATGCGAAATTTGAGCAATTGAGATGATGAACACTTATGCATACTAAATACTAAAAGGAACTATATAATCTCATTTTCTTTGATTTATACATGCCTGGACAATTTGTGGATGGACAACCTCCTTAACTCTTTTTGATCCTTGCATATAGACGCTTTGCCTTCTAGAAGTTGGTGTGGATTTCACCTGATATTTAGATACAAGAGAACTTAATTTCTCAATAAATGCTAGAACAATTACAATGAAAGACTACAATCAATAGCACATACCCTATTTCGAGAGATGTCATCAAGTTTCTTCAAGGCTGAAAAGAAGCAACCATAGATATTGAGCATAGATTTGTGATAAACAGATGCATAAAAAGGGAGACCATATAACATTTTTTACAAGACACTAAGGCTAGGTACCATCCTTCTAAACACAAGATATTATGCTTACTAAGCCTAAGAGTAAGAAAAGAATTTAGGACAAGTGAGGTTTCAATATTTCCTGCTGCAACAATAGCGGAAGGCCTGATTACCCATTAAATCTCTTTGGGATACCTTAAATGCAATCACATTGCAATTCACATACAAAATGAACAGGCAAAATTTTCTTCTTCCATTCACAATAAGATTTGTTCTGAATTTGCAATATACTTACAGTGGGTTTTCCGTTTGTGGGCTTCTCCAACTCCTGATTTGCAAACTGACTTGTAAATATTGGACATTATATTGGATTTCTCGATGGGTGCTCTTATTTCTTCAAACAAATCAACCTCAGTGCTTTGGGTGCTGTCCAAAAAGAAGTCATCACTATCTAATGTAGATTCTGAGTCTGCATATCTCCGCGTACACAGATCTTCTTGAGTTACGGGTAATAGGTGAGCTTCAACCTTCTCAAATCCTTTATTTATAATAAACAACTCTTCTGGATCTAGAAGTCCTAATCACGCATGAAGCATTAATGACTTCGAATTTTAACTTGCTCTAACCATATGAAATGAGTTAACATTGGCAGAAGGCACCAAATATTTCAGATTTCTTGTAAAAGCATACCTGCACTGGTGAAAAAAGCAGTATCCCAATCTAAACTTTTGCGCAAGTTGCTTGCTCTTCCCAACTCAGTGGATTCATGAAATAAGACCTTTTGCTCCCTTTGCTCGAGTATTTCTACTGCATTTTCAGGTTCACGAGAATCTGTGGTCCCAAACAGCTTGAAACCTTCTTGCTCATCTATTTTCTCCAACACTACTGTGAAAATGAATTCAAGAATAAAATGTTTCAGGCTAAAATTGAAAATGGAAGAATGTATCTGTTCAAGTAACTGCAGAATTGTTCCTAATGTTGATGCAAAAACTAAGATCAGTTGGTGGTTTTTCATGCAACCTAAGCAAATTAGAGTCCTTTAGATATTGATGTGTTAGTTATCAGGAATTAGGAGAGTCAAAGATGATGCAGAACTATGAAATATCTCACAAATAAAATGATATAAGAAATTCAGACCTACCATAAGGGAACTACTGTAAAATATTAAGGTTCTTAAAATTTTGCTCCCATCCCCGAAAGTAACTGAAGAATTAGAAACACAGGTCTATTCTAATGGATTGATTATTAGTCTTAACACTATGATAAACAATAAGACATGAAAATTAGAATTAGAATATAAACATGCCTACATGGAGCAGAGAAATATCATTCATATACTATATAACCTACAATTAGATTATTATAGAGTATTTCTTCCAATATACTTGTGTTATCTCACATTAAGACATAAGTACAAAGTATTGTATTGGCGGAGATTAGGTGACTAGTTACAATTTATAAAGCATGGCTAGAGGGATACAAGATAGAGGTATGACACAATATGGATACATCAATACAAATTCTGAAAAAAGTAGGATATGGATTATGTTAAAGGATACGACCATAAATAAAAATATATATAAATTTAAAAGTAATTGTCATAAATCTTTTAGGATAAACTATTTTTCTTTATTTATCTACAATTAGGAAACACTCTAATTTTGGCGAAGCTGAGTCAAACTTTAGATTTCTAGAAAAAGTTGAATAAAAATTGATTAATTTATTCAGATGGTGATAATTAATCAAATCATTTGAGAGTCACATAGTTATTTTATATACATAGTTACATAACCACCATGAAGTATGTAAGCTCTCTACTTCCAATCCCATGCTTCGCATATAACTCCACTATCATCAAGAGTTGCAATGCTTCCCTACGATGTATTCAAGCACATCAAGTACGTGTTAACTTTCTAGTCTACCAAGTAGTCTTAATTTCAAGCTACTAGAAGTCACGGCACGCAAAAAAATTCAAAGTGTAGTATTGATAGAGATTAAGTGACTAGTTGAATCTATAAAGCATGGAATAGGATACATGATAGAGGTATGACACAATATGGATACATCGATACAAATTCTGGAAAAGTAAGATATGGATTATGTTAAGGATGTGACAATATATAAACATATATATATTTAAAAAGTAATTTTGTGAAGACTGTTTTTCAAACTACTAGGAGTCATAGCAAGCACAAAGTGTGCATAAATCATTGAAAGACAATAACAATTCTAAATATAAAATTTATGGTATAAATGAAATGTTACCAGAAATGATGCCTTAAATTACTTCAAAGGATCAGCAACCCAGTAATTTTTTTAAAAAAATGGACAAAAAGAAAAATAAAAAAGTAATCAACAAAATATTCAAAGTCCCTGTTAAATTTTATGTTTAGAATATCATCAATTTTTGTGTTTTTTTTTTTCATGAGATAACAATACCATCATCAAATTGAAGTTATTTAATCTCTTTGTAACACATTTGACATAGGAAATTAATAACAGTGAAAGAAATGAAAATTATAGGCAGATAGATCACTATATTTAGCTAAGCATATAGCGACAATGACTATGAAAAGCTTCATACACAACATCACACAAAAAAAATCAAAATAAATTATATATATATACATACAATTTATGGTAGATGTATATGTACATAAAAATGACGAAAAATCTTTTAAGTGATGTCATTTAAACCAAGGTGGTGGTGATAGTATAAAATTATTGAGCAAATCCAAGGAGATAATTGAATGATCTTCTTCTCTATAATATTGGTTTGGAGGAATTGGAAAGTCTATTCCCCTTTGATAGAGCAAATATATATATTCCTCGTATGGTACTTCTGCATACGTACCGACCGGGTACACAACACGGTTTAAGTGGGTGAAGTAGGTGGAGAGTATGTGGATTTAGTGGGTTAGGTTTAGTGGAGTAGGTTTAAGTGGGTGAAGTAGGTGGAGAGTATGTGGATTTAGTGGGTTAGGTTTAGTGGAGTAGGTTTAAGTGGGTGAAGTAGGTGATAGGTTTAAGTGAGTGAAGTAGGTGATAAGTTTTAACAGTATATGTACATAAAAATGACGAAAAGTCTTTTAAGTGATGTCATTTAAACCAAGGTGGTGGTGATAGTATAAAATTATTGGGCAAATCCAAGGAGATAATTGAATGATCTTCTTCTCTATAATATTGGTTTGGAGGAATTGGAAAGTCTATTCCTCTTTGCTAGAGCAAATATGTATATTCCTCGTATGGTACTTCTGCATACGTACTGACCGGGTACACAACACATACCCAAGCTTTTTCTTTTTAATTTTTGGCATACCCAAACGTACCTAGTATATACCTAAGCCGTACCGTACCTCAATTGAAATAATATTTTATTCTACTGCAGAGATAAAACTCCTTTCACTAGACTTCTTTTTTATTTTTTATTTTATACTTAGCATGATTTTAAAATTAAACTATGGTTTGTAAATTATTTAATATATTGACATTTAATTTTGATTTATACCTTTACTTTTGACATTAAATGTTAATTGTAGGTTGAACCTTAACAAATTAAATCATTTAATTAATTTTTGCATTACTCTAAGGTAAAAATAAATATTTTTTTACAAGCGTACCAAGCCTTACCCGTACCCTATTTTTTAAAAATTTTACCGTATTGATGTACGCGTATCGTACCAGTACTAGTATTCGTATTCGTACCTGTACCCATGCTTCATAGGCAACAATGACTATGAAAAGCTTCATACACAACATCACACAAAAAAAGTCGAAATAACATTTATATATACATACAATTTATCATAGATGTATATGCACGTAAAAATGAAGAAAAGTCTTTTAAGTTATAAGATACAGATAACACAACGGGTAAAAGAATTCGAAACGAAGAACCTTGTTGGTAAATCACGTGCTTGACAACCATTAACTATGAACACCCAACAATGGAGTGAAACTACAATATGAGTATCACCGACACTAGTCACAGTGCAAAGGCTGGATCGTTCTCTGATGGGAGAGAGTTAGAGAGAGAGTATAGGGAAAAAATGTTATGGGTAAAAAACCACATCACGTATCTGATGTTCTATATATTAAAACATATAATCAGATAAATAACCATATATATCCATCTATCCATATCTCCTGATGTTCTATATATTAAAACATATAATCGGATATATAACCATATATATCCATCTATCCATATCTCCTAAGGATAGGATAGATGTAGATAGATAGAGGGTTATCCTAACAAATAGGATAATCAGGAAATCAAATTCAAATTAAATGGGTAATTTGAATGGGCCATGGGTCATGCCACATGGGCGCCCAAATTCGTGTCCAATACCCGGCCCAATTTCCAACATCTCCCACTCGCACATGAGTTGGCATGATACTGCCACATCTCTATCTCAATCTCCCAAATATTGAACAATCCCATACTAGCCAATGAACCATGCGACCGCTAAGAAACACTTGCATGTGGGAGCTCTATACTAGAAACTCAAAATGAGCCAGCATAGGGACATCAATCCAAAAAATAGAAATAGTGTCTCATATACCCCAGACCTATCTAATTACACCAGTCCAAAAACATCTTTAATCCCTCAAAAGAACATGTTTGACCCTCTCAATTCTTGCAATATATTCACTCAATCCGTCTCTCATACAGAGCGATGTGAGTTGTCAACACTGAATATACAACTGTGATGTAATACTAGATGATCTTCCCCTTGCCCTTATGCCATTTAGTTTAGGATTGACTGCTTTCCCAGTGATGTCCCTTAAGGCCGAATCATACATGACCGCAAGCAACATACCAAAGTAGCAGAACATCAACCCCTTACCTTGTGACACAGTCAAAGGTCACAAAAGGGTACATAAGTGAAAGTCGTATCAATAATGACACGTAAGACTCACACGGTGAGGAAACAGGGATCCATTCTCTCACCTCATTACTCGGTCGCCAAGCACATAGAGTATGAATACATGCTACGATGGAGTAACTTTTCCAAAAGAGTGACGTCATACTCAATACACCGTACAGATCTTAGTCTAGTCTCTTTCTAGCGCTTAACCCGAATTCTCTATTTGCTCGCCTTCCAGGCACCAAATGAGATCTCGCATCTGGCTAATCATAACAGGCACAACATGGAAAGTGGGTACCAACATCCATGTTTGGTCCTTAACACAACCTCATCTTGGTTGTAACCAAGGCGACATATATAGTGGATAATTTAAGCCTCTCTTGGCTCCAAATAAAAATAAACCACTAGTCTCATCTGTGTTTGCTCCCAAGTACCAAGGGTGATTGCTCGTGTGAGTGCGCCAATCTTGCTTGCTGACATCATCATTTGCTAATCATTATAATACAAACCATAATAGTGTCTGCTAGAATATAATATGTAAAATGTTGCTTTAATAATTAGGTTAGTATAATAATTAGTATGCTTTAATAATGTACCTTTAATAATGTTGTTTGGTTTGTGCTTCTACTTTCGGTTTGTAATTGTTCTCCCTCTCCTCTATAAAGGAGAGAGCTCAACACACCATTAAAGAGATCAATCAATAATATCAATCAATAATACATCAATTTTAACAGAATGCGCCTGGAGGACTATGCGATAAACAAGTATCCATTAGATTAAAAGGGAAGTTCTATAGAACGGCTATTAGACCAACGATGTTGTATGCGACGGAATGTTGGGCAACTAAGAAACAACATGTACATGAGATGAGTGTTGCTGAGATGAGAATGCTAAGATAGATGCGTGGCAAGATTTGAAAAAACAGAGTTAAGAATGAATATATTTGAGAATGGGTAGGAGTAGTACCGATAGAAGATAAGTTGAGAGATAATAGATTGAAATGGATTAGTCATA